TGAGTCATTTCAATGATTCACCATCAAAGGGAAACAAACATAGCGGTTAAGTAGCATCTGAATTTCACGTGGGAAATGGAGACCGGTACTTCCTAACGCCGTCGTCCGGGTGAAATGACGATAATAGGCTCAACCAAAAGCCTCCAGCTGTAAAATGCATGCGTTGACCCCACCGAAAATTCAACACGCACGAGCCTCAAACCCGTTTTCGGCCCTTTTCCCATTCTCGTTTTCCCGAGAAAATTACCCCTAGAATTTTCCCGAGAAAATCAAACCCCAAAATAATGATTCAATCGTCGTGAAAAATCCTCATCGGTTGGATACCAGTACGATGAAGTCGATCCATGACCTCTTTTTGAACTCACAATTTTCACTTTCTTCTTCAATTCTTGATGGAACCGCGAAATCAATCTCCTTCTACTCAGCCGAAGAAAATCGATCCAGAAAATGTAAAGCTGATCGACTGGGAAGATTTCGAGGAGGAGCTCGCGCGATTGTGGAGCCTCTCTTCTGCCCTTAAAGAAGCCCAGGAGAAGAAGCAGACTCTGCAGCAGAGGCTCGACTCTGTTGTTCAGGTAGGATTTGTGCTTGATCTCTGGTGAAATTAGTCCGCTGTTTGTTTACCAAGAGACCGGGAAAAAGGAAATGGGATGTCATCTATTTCTTTCTTGGAAAGGGAAGATTATTTAGGGGAAAATTTTGTGGAAGTAAGTTAGTTATTTGATTCATATGAAACAAACTGAATTTTTATTTCGTATCTTTGTTGGGGGTAAACATGAGGTTGATTCTGAGGTTTTCTTTTGGTTGCATGGCTACTAGGTTAAAGGTATTTCCTTGTGTTCTTGTTTGCTTAGAAAATAGAGGGAATGGAATTATGGAATGTATCCTTAAACCCTCCCCATGTCATGTTGGATCTGAAACATCTCATGTATACCTTCAAGAAGTTGTTTTGGAAACTGTACTTCACAATCTGTTATATTATAGGAAGTAAAAAAGTTAACTTGATTAAGCAACATCATGATTAGAGAATGGCATCTTTTGCATGTACCTTGGCTTTCAATCCTTCTCAGTTTTATGATATCGTGGGCCTTAATTAATTAGCCCGCGGATTAGCGGGCGGCAACATGCTGGGCAGGTCAAAGCAGAATCATTGAGTCGATTGAATGAGCTTGAGGATATGCGTGAGAAAGTGGAGGCCAAGAAGTTGATGATGAGAAACATGTCAACGCATTGTCAGGTTGCAAAAGATGATGCCAAAAAGAAAGAGGACAGTCTTGGTACTGAAGTTCGATCATTGTTGGTTGCTGGAACATCTCTATCTGTAGCAAAGAAGCGATTACAGGTAATCATAATTGATACTTATTTGAAAAATTATTTTTTGGAATTTCATTTATTATTTTGAGAAAGTTGTTTGCATTGTTATGGTGAAAAAACAAATAGGTAAAGCTTCAAGGCTAGGTTAAGTGATTGCATAATTCTGTCTTCTCTTTATTTTACCAATCTTTGCTTGTTTCTCAATTGAAAATGTTATACATTTAACTCAGTCCAAATTCTACCACATTTTGCAATTGTGCTGTTTTGCTTTATAATATTTTTATGGAGTTTGCTGTTTTATTTGAATGTCCTAATTTATTATTCCTTTACCTGGTTGGAGGAGAAAGTGTTGAGATGGGTAGGAATTTTCTCTTTCTATCAACTGTTTTCTCTCCTTTTTCGGGATAATCTTTATGCTTTTTGAACATGCAGGTTAATGTTGATGGTTTGACCCTTCTTCTGTCACAGGAATCGAGTAGATTACTGACTGGAGAAAGAGGTTATGTTAAGCTCAAGAATGTGCAGAGGAAGCTTCGAGTGAGGCAACAGCATATGATATCACAAGTTTCATTGCTTTATCCTGTTAAAATCTTGGTTGGAAAGACACAAGAGCAAGAACTTGAAGCCTTTCCTAGCAGTAGCAGATTAGGTAATATGGTTGGAAGTTTTTGAGTTACTAATGCCCAAGCTTACTTGAAATGGCAGTTGTTCATCCAAAAGATTTTATTATAGTCCTTTTTACAGTGTTAACAGCTGGTATGTTAGTAATATCTTGGTTGGGAAAGCACGTGCATTTTTTCCCTGGAATTTTTGATAAATAAATGACTTGGGAGAATGGAGCAAAAGTAGGAATAAAGAAGTTGCTATAAATTTCAATCTTGTTTGTCCTTTGGCTAATGGCTAGCAATTTAAATTCTTTGAGAAATTGTTTTCCAACAATATCAGTGTTATTGTGATCACATGTGTTACTGTATGGATGTTTTTTCTTCCTTTTGTGGCTGTCTACATCTATTCTTTCTGAGATTATGGAAAATTTTGGCTTTGTTGGTTTCATTTGACTGGATATATGTTTAATTAAGATAAATTTATATGTTTTGCCAGACTGTGATTTACTTAGTTTAATCTTAATTTCTATTTGTGTCTACTAGGGAATTCTACTTCTACTGGATCGAAACCTGTTAATCAAGGATCCTTGACAATTTTAGGTCTGCATCTGACCATGCTTCCTTTTACAAAGATGAGCTTTTTTACTGACAAGAAGGAGATTCAGAGGTCTGCAACTGCCTTGGGATATGCCGCGCATGTGTGTCCTTTTGCTCTGCTTCATATGAAGTTGCCAACTAGTAAATTTTAATTATATGCTGTTGACACACAGGCATTTGTTGTTTACCTGCCATCTGCAATCCATTTCCTTGAGATATATTTCCCTTTAAATGAAGATTATGTGTCAGCATCCATTTATAAGATATTTTGTTTCACATTGCATTAATGCCAATGCATCTATATGTTTTTTAATTTTTGAGGCAATAAATTGAAAGACGCTCAATCAACCATTGGTTCTATTCGCTCCTTTGCAGGCTGTTACACTAATAGCTTCTTATTTAGAAGTTCCTTTGCGTTATCCTTTGCACTTGGGTTGTTCCAGATCATTCATCCATGACCATGCACCATCAATAGAGCCTACATCTTCTGATTTGTCATCAGATGCAGCAGTCTCCGGAAATTCAAAGCCCATGGAGTTTCCACTGTTTCTGGAAGGTCAAGACGCAACAAGAGCAGCTTATGCTGTATTCTTATTAAACAAGGTGGGCTTTTTTTAAAGACAAAAAGGTTTTATTTGCCTTAAAAATAGTCAAATACTTCTTAGGTTAATTAAAATATTTGGTTTAGACTGTCTTCGCCAGTAAATTTATTTTTGTTGCCCTTGTCTCTGACGAATTTCTCTAGGTGTATATTTTTTTGAAGATTTCTGTTTTTGTGTGTGTGTGTGTGTGTGTGTGTGTGTGTGTGTGTGTTTGTGTAGTTTTTCGTATTCTACCACCTATGACATAATTGAAGCTCAAGATCCAATATTCATGTAGATGATATGAAATGGCTCTCTCTATACTAAACTAGCTGTTGCAATATTTATGTAGATGTTTTTCTAGAAAAGGATTTTTTTTTTTTTTTAAGATTGTATCAGAACATCAGAGAATAGGATAGTTAAATAATGTAATAGTTATGAAAATCAATGCAAGGATGAAAGTTTGCCTTGGTTATTGAGATAGAAATGTCAAGTATACGTGCAAGTTTGTAGTTTGGGATACCAAGAATATAATTAATGGGAACAACCAAAAAAGCAAGTGGCCTTGTTGATACTCCTGTTGAACTTGGTGTACCTGTGAGAGTTAGGTTTTAATTTATTGGCAAAATTGTTTAATGGGATTCCAATGACTAAGGAGGTGCTCAGTGATTTGAGGAGCATTATTTATTTAAAGGGGATATTTGTGGTTGTAATAATAATCTTGAGATTGAAGGTTGTTTGCTGGTTCAGCCGAAATGCTTGGGGTAGTAAATAAGTTGTTTAGATGATTATGCCTTATTTCTTTATTTTTTTTATTCAGTAAATATTATATCTTCTTCCTTAATTCTTATGTTGTTATAACGTCTTTCTCCAGTGACCACATTGTTCCTGTGGTTGCAGGATATAGAGCAGCTTTTGAATTTCATTGGTGTTAAGAGTTTAGGACCAAGACACGTATTAGCAAACTTAAAGGAGCTACTGAGGACCATTCAGTCTCGAGAGTACATAGATACATGATTTGGTTTGTAGGGCCTGACTGTACGCTTGGCTACTTACTGTAAATGGATTCATTATATTCTTACAGCCGGTGCAAAAATTTTTGACCCAGCACCTTTGATAGAGCCTTGTTAATTACAGACATTTTCATCTTAAAGCAAAATCAAGTTCAAATTCGTATTCTTCACAAGCTGATCGTTTGGATTCATATTGAGTTTATCTGTTTGAGATCGCTGTGAAATGTCATGATGGCAAGGTAAAAGTATTGAGAATTGAAAGCAATCCCATATTGTACCTTACTGTTGTTTAACAACCAAAACTGAAAACTAACAACAGAAATGATACCAGACGGGGTCTAAAAAAGGAAGAGGGAAGGGGGGGGAGGGGGAGGGGGGTTCAATTTATTATTTTCCCCTTGTGATTATGTGGTACATAACGGATGCTGGAGAATGTTAGTAAGATAAGGAGTTAACTGAGAAATAAAGATGAAAAGAGAGCTTATAATGTGACAATCAATGTCAATGACATTGTTTTGGGCATATACATGTGCCTGCTTAAGGTCAATATTCAAAACGAAAACATCTACAATGTAAAGCAGATGCTTGTGATGAGGCATCTGAAACCCTTTCCATGAAAAATCAAAACTTTGCTTTGATAGAATAAATTGGACCCTACATGTCTTGTTATCCCCCCAACATGCCATGTTAGCATGAGCAACACATTCATATATGTCTCTCCTTCACCTCCGCCATGGATCCAGCACCATTAATATCATTGTGGTTCCTTCTCCTCTGTGTCCTACGAACTACCATGTTCAATATGTATGGTATTACTTTCATAACAGAGACGGAAATCGGTGATCTATATTGCATGCCCAAGAAAACATACATAAAACTCAAAAAACCTTGAAGTGACTTGGAAACTCTAAAATGAAGAACCATAATTGCTATTTTTTGTACTAAGATCAATAAAGAAGATTGCTGGATCTTCCGCGCTTGTTTTCGATCATTTCTCCAGTATCAGATACCCAATAAGATGTAGTATAGTATTGTGATGGGTAGAGAAATTATCATGCCAAATATCACCCTGCAAAATTGAAGGCAAAAGGTGTAACCGGAAGAAAATTTGTTGTAAATATGAGTTTTTGGGGGGGACAGTGCAGTTACTTACGCTGTACTTAACACTTCAGGATGCAGATTGTACTCCCTAGCAAATACAAAGGGTACAATTCCTTGAGGAAGTGCAGCTTGTATAATGGAGACTTTTAAAATGGTGCCTCTGAGGCCAACACCTAAAGATGCTACCGCCATTAGTGCTGGACCGGCAACAAATCTAGCAAGCATTCCATAGCCAGCCAGCCTCTTCCCACAGGCTATGATTTTTGGTTGCAGAGCCATGAATAATCCTAAGTTCAGAAATTTTAGTTGACCCTTTACTAATAATAACACTAAAACAAAGCGAAGAAAAGAAGAAAGATCATACCAAGGCTGAACATGGCCATTCCAAGACCTGCTTTGGACAATATCGTGACTGAATTTTCCATTATTTGGGGTTTCTTTATACCCCATCTGCCAAATTGAAGTAAGAAGCAAAAACCAGTAAGAGATGGATCATCTAGAAATCAACGAAGAAACTTGAGGTTAAGACTTGAGATTACCTGCAAGAAATTAAAGCCCATACTAGACCAAACAAGCTTGCATAAGAGTTCGGATTCCTCACAAGCTTGAGCCAAACTCTTTTCAGTATTTCCAAGAGCATCCCTGAAGAAGAAGATCCAGGAGGAGGAGGAGCTTCAACATTCTCAGTTGCCACTAATTTTTCAGTTGCAATTACCTTTGCATTCCTTTCTTCCCTTTGGCAGCCCTGCCCTGTCTGCCCACAAACACCATTCTGCTCATCTGCCTTCCTGCAGCACCCACACCGCCAAATGAACAGATGAACCTCTCTCCCTTGTCCCTCCTTAACAGCTGCAGCTAAAGGCTTAGACTTTTGAGAATCAGGAGCTACTTTGTTAACATTTTGAGAAGTAGGTGTGCTCTTGATTTCATCCTCAGTACTACTACCACAGGTCCCAGCTTCTCTGAACTTACTAAGTACAAACATTCTTGTTTCTCTGTACTCAAACAGAAACAGCAACAGAGTATACCAAATTATGCACTGCAAAACCACAGCCTGAATCATGATTCCTTCCTTATCATCCCCATACATTGATTTCAGAAGTGGGATTCCCATTACAAGAGTATTGGGGAGAGTTGAGAGGGAAAACAGGGTGATAGCCCAATCCAAGCTCCCTTTCTTGAAGAAATTTGCCCAGCAAAACAGAGCAACAAGTATCAGAACTTTGGAGACCCCATCAGCAGCAATGAAAAGGAGCTCCATTCTATAAGGGTTCACCCGGGAAACGACCTCGAAGGAGAGAAGCGGGACGGCGAAGATGGCGACAAACCTGTTGATACCGGCACACTGTTCTGGGGTGAAGACGTTCCACCATTTCACAGATGCATAAGCTAAGAACATGGCAACATAAAGAGGAACAACTGCAGTCAAAACACTGTACAAATCCTGAAATCCAATCATTTTTTTCTCTGCTTGGGAAAGATTTTGTAGGTTGGGATAAAGATAAGATGGTTTATGAAGATCAATATGAAGACTTGGGTTGCTATATTAATAAAAATGGAAAAGTTGCAGAGAAAATTTTCAATTTTGCTGTGATTTTTGCACTGTTCAATCTTGTGATGGAACTTGAGTTATGCTTGAATTGCAAAACATGAATGAAGTGGGATTCTTATTCTTGTGCGTTATAGCTAAGGAGACATTTTAGCGGAATTTTAATTTTACGCTTTTGTCTACAGTTTAGATTTTTTTTTTTTTACCATATTGAAATTAGTTATATATATTAATTGAAAAAAAAAAAATTGAGATTCATGAATTCGAACACATCATTTATAAGGGGTGAACAATACTAACCCAAAATCTATATCATTAACTAGGAGTGGGATGCTCTACAGTTTAGATATTTAGATATTCATGACATTGCAGTACTTGAAATTGTGTTTTTTTTTTTTTGGTGAAAATACTTAAAATTGTGTTACTGGGGTTAATTCGTGTCTTAGTAGTTAGTGCTTAATCTTTTATGATTGGTTCAATCATGCACTTATCCCAACTATTTTCTCTATCACTATTGATCCACCTAACAGATATTTTTCTGTTATTGATTCGAGTGGCGATTAGATAACTTAAATTTAAAATTATTTAACATATTAGGTAAATCAATAACAAAAAGTTAATTATTTAAATAATTTAATATTATTATTTTTTTCAAAAATCTTAAATTTGAGTTATAGATCATATGATATATTAGTGTATTTGGATTAAAATATACGAGAAAATTGATTTTTCATTATCTAACTCAAATTTAAAATAATACTCATATAAATTAATTACATAACTAATATTAAAAAAAAAAGTATAAAAGAGTGTCATTCCTAATTTTCTTCATAAAAAATTATTTATGCATATCAAAAGATGAGAAGCAGACTGCATTGACGTACTAACTAGAAAAAATTAGTTTGTATTTTCAAAAAAATCTTCAAATGGCTTCATACATGCGGAATTTAGATGTGAGTGTATCAATTATTTTTCTAAAAAACAAGAAAAAAATTTTTTTTTTGCCAACGACCCTCTCATTCTAAGCAGTCAACTTCCGTTAGGATGATTGAAAGAAAGTTAGTTTAAGATTGAGTTTTACGTCCTTCAGACAATTTGTAAAAAGGAGGGATGCTTTTTTGTAGAATGAGTTGTTAATCTACTTTGAAAAATCTCAAAGACTTTACTAATACTGTGAATTTAAATTAATAGATCAAAAATGAACTGAATGAAATGTAAATTAGGGTAAACTTGATGTTTATTGCACAAAAGGAAATCAAAGAAGCAATTACAAAAACTAATTTAAGTACTTGAATGCTAAAAATAACTTAAATTTATTGAAATTTGTGTTAAAACTGAAATATAAAAACTAAGATGAGCAATCATTACGAAACCAAAAAATTGAAAAATTAATAAGTTTTTGTGTAGGGTTGGTCGTGTCTATTCAAAAATAAAAAAACTTCTATTTGTATCCTTTCTACGAACTGTCTCTTGATTGATTAGATCACAAAAAACTTCCTCTTAAATTTTAGGAATTTTTGTTCATTTTAAATTCAAGCGGTAACAAACCAAATAATCTTTATTCTCCCAACTAATTTTGCAGATATACATTCTTTAAGTAGATTTGATCTCATCTTATTCATTGACATGTAACATTACTTAAAAAATATAATTTATGGTGTAAATAGTTTACATTATTCCTTTTTTGTTTTTCGAAATGAAAAGATAAATTTCATTTCACTAATTTTCATAAAGGGTACTTAACAATGAACACTAGCCACACATGGGGAAGCGTTGTCACTTTCATACCCTCTATGGCCCTGTATCAGTCGTTCTGATGAAATTCAGTTAAAATTTTGATTTGATGAAATCCACTTGAAAAGATTATGGAGCCAATTGCATTGCGTAAGAGGTAAGGTACCCGATTAAATCGACCTTAAAAGGTTAGCAACTATCCATATGGCAAAAAAGGAGATACATTGACATTGACACCATTAAGAGAAATACGTTGCATGAAAAGGAAAAGAATAATCATCTTCAACATAAGCTTTAATTAGTGTGGTCATTGAAAACTATTGTCTTTCGCCGACAAATTTCGGCTGAGTGAATTCACTGTACCAAGAAAAAGAATAAAGGCACCAACCGGGTAAAAGGTACCTGTTTGCCCTTAAAGATTTCAAATTTGAGACGTTTTACTCTTTATATTTCAATATATTAATTTTTACCTTTCATAATTTCTAATTTGGGGACATAAGGCAAAATTTAATGCCAAACGATCACGTGCTACACGTGCATCATTATTTCCATTATAAATTTATATGTCAACACCAATTTAAATATTTTTTAACATGTCAGCAAGTCCAACTTGGACCCTTTCCAACAAAAATTTTTTTTTTCTTCCTCCCTTTCCTTTTTTCCTTTCTCTTTCTTCAACTTCTGCAAATCCAAACATCTCCACTAATCTCTACCCTTATG